ACACATACAAATATAATATATATGAATAAATAGCTACATATATAATGAAAAAATTTAAAGAAAAAGAATGAGACACAGAAGAAAGGTTACAAGTTCAGATAATGTTCCCGTAATTAATGGTTGAAGGAAAATCTACTCCTTGCGTCTTTGATATGAAGTGGTAAGTCGTTCCAAAGTTTGATAACCTGAACGGCGAAAGAATGTTCACATTAACTTTAACTCTGACACTGTCTGTCCTTTAGAGACCAGAATATGAATTTCCCTGTATATACAAATACATAGATCTAAATGTGCGGACAATATTTCAGGAAGAACATCTTTGTATATCGTGATCTGAAGTGTGGTTGTTACCTCTGTCTCAAAATGCTGCTCTAATTTTTCCGCCAGCTTTGCAGCTCGAAACGTGAGGTATGAAAAACCAGTTAAATTTATTATTTCGAATTAGGTGTTATTTTAAATCAATTTCATTATTTGATGGATCTATACTATACTCCGACCAGTCAACATTAGGCTTCCGAACTATATTCGATCTCTATTCATTGCCTGATGATGCCTCGTTTCAACACGTGTCGCAATATGGGTGTAGATACATAACAGTCGGAAATTAATCACTAGTAGGGAAGGTGATGATGCTTCCAGTAGCGATGGTCTGATTCTCGCACTAAATATATTGTACTATATAGTAATGTCCCACACATGTTAATGCTAGCGAAATTAAATTAAATGATATAAATCCATTAAGTTGCAGTAAAATTTCGTTTAATTTTAATTATGTAGATAACGATATCACCTTTCTATTTACATGTGTTTGTAATGGAAAACAAACGGTTCCACCTGATGGACTCCATCTCTCCTTCTATCATCATCACGCCATCAAACCATGGACATTTGTTAAGCGGTACCGGCACCAATATACATGACATAACAATACATGTATCACGTTATCATGTAACACTGTGATACCACTTGTCATTCCATAGTAAGGTATATATTTAGCTTCTAGAGAAAACGTAATACAAATAATGGCAGTAGAAAAACATTTGTTATAAAGAAAAAAACATTTCGTCAAAATATAAAATACAATAATTTATAAAAAAACACCACTCATGCGTTACTAATCTAGAGCATTGAGATGTCATGCCAGGAAATCCTATAAGTTCACTGTTTAATTTGATTCTACAATCGAAACAGCTTTCAAAGAAAGCTGCTTGCCATCGAAAACGCCCGTCAGCAAGTTTGTCAGTTCAATTGCTTTAAGCTTTTGAGAATACATACATACTCTTTTTATGTATAACTAGCTGATCTGGCAAACGTTGTTTTCCATTTAAATCATACATTGATATCAACAATATGGCTATAAAATGTAGGGATTGGTGGTAGATGATGTAGTGCCACGTAATAAAAAAAATAATGTAAAATTTGTTCAACTTAAAAAAAAGTTTTTTGGCAAGGACCATACTTATTACATAGAAATATAAAAATAGATAACATATTCTCAAACCTACCGATTATACATATAAAAAAATATCAAAATCGGTCAAGCCGTTTGTAGTATGGTAACTAACACGAGAATTTTATATATTAGAATCTAATAATTAGATAAACCCTTAAATATAAAAAGTATGTCATTACATAACAATATATTAAAGTACACATGAGTAGTAAACCTCTTTTTTTGTAATCGGTTAAAAATATACAATTAAATATCAACTTGTTTACAACATAAACTTTACAAATATAACGTTCTATGGTGACCTTTGCTATGCCAGGTCTAGTCGTTCACTGTAATTGCTTAATTATTGACGCGTATGTTAAAAGGTTTCTATCCAGGACTCTATAATAGGCTCAGACGCAAAAGGGTAAACAGAAAACTAGGGGTTGTATTCCAAAAGGTTCAAAGACATGCATATAGCTTACATCTTATATATAAAATTCTCGTGTCACAGTTTTCGTTCCCATACTCCTCCGAAACGGCTTGACCGATTCTCATGTAATTTTGTGAGCGTATTGAGTAGGTCTGAGAATCGGCCAACATCTATTTTTCACCCCCTAAATGTTAGGGGTAGTCCACCCCAATTTTTTTTTTATATTAAGGCAAAACAACGTTTGCTGGGACAACTAGTTACTATATAATAATGACGAGTAAATTAGTGAGTTATATGTTTTTAGTGAAATTTGAAATTAAAATCCTTGATCATTATAATAATAATAATATCTCTGGACAATTCACACAGCGCCATCTAGTCTCGAGCTAAGCTGAGCTTTCCATATAGGTACTACACAACTAGTATAAAAACGTTTTGTTTTTGTAATTATTTTGATTATTTCTGTTTCTATTGAAATCATTAAGAAAATAAGTTGTTCTTGAAAGGCTGGCAACGCACTTGCAATTCTTCCGGTTTGGCGTGCGCTCATGAGCGACGGTAATCACATACCACAAGTTCGTTTCTCATAAAAAAGTAATGTATACGTAATATTTACAGAGATAATAGGTAATTTGATAGCCTATGCAGGGTAGTTACTACTAAATGCTTAACAAAAATCTGTAGATTTTGCCAAGTAAAGAGTAAACGCCACTCCATAACCTATGTGACCGTAGCCCACTCATGCATAAACGTAATATCTCGTTTGGAAAGTACATATTATACACTCTATCCTGAGATAATCATCGCTCCTAAGAATATCCATCAATTCTTGTCCCTGACGGGTCTAGGTAGCGGATTTTGAAAAAGGGCAAGTGCAATAGGTTTCTACAGTTTTTTTTGTGGATGATAATGCAATGGTACACCCGCCTGCGCTAACGGCTTACACTGGCAGGGACTGGCAGGTACACCAGTGGAGGATGATAGGAAGAACATGAGGTCAGGTCAGTTAGCCCATCGTAACAAATTTGGTGAATTCATCACGATGGTTTCCAGGGGGAACCGCGTGGAGTTCAACCTAAAATAGTACATTGCTAGCAATAAGATCATCAGTCCATTACTAAAACCCATTTTTTTTTGCATTCTCCCGCCTGCGCTAACGGTTTACGACCAGTGGAAAATGAGGATGAGGGCAGGTGTTTGTATAAATTCAAAAATTTATCAAGATAATTTCTGGAGGTCAACCTGACATGGTACAAAATCTGAGTCCATATTACTAAATTGTCTCTAAGAGAGTTCTACAGTTCTTATCACCTCAATAATCGAACGAAACCTTTCAAGAAATCAATACTACTAAAAACTCTGAGTTTTAGACTCCAAAATATTGTTTGTAAACAAAAATTATTAATTTCTATATGTCAAAATCTGGTACTAAATTTTAAGAGAGATCCTCATCATCTAATAAGAAATGTTGGATAAGTGCCATCTGTTATGTTACAAATAAGTATTGTGAACCAACATACTGCCATCTACATAGTGCTGAAAAATTTTATTTAGTGCGACTTGGTGTTGTATCCGGTATAAAATAGTTTGTCATTTTTATAACAGAGGGCAGTGCACGGAATAGTAACTCGTTCTCATTGTTTCTACTAGGTGGCGCTAAATTGTAAGCGTTACGAAATAGTTCCAAGAGTATTTTTTAGATGGCGCTGATTATTATTATTAGAGACCAAAATATAATATTTTTTTACTAAAGAACAATTGCTAATTCTTACTTCTTGCAACTGGCAAACAATTCTAATAATATAAATTATCAAATTATTTTTTTATTTACGTTAGATTTAACATTGTTCTAAAACTGAATTAATTATAATCATCATCTGCTTATTTCGATGTATTTTTTATTATTTGTAATTAAAATATGAAATTATTACGTATTCATATTTTTTAAATAATAGGCACTCAAAACTAATAATATAAATTATGATAAATTCAAGGTTTAAATTTATAAATTCATAATCTATTTCAACTACTAGATACTAGATGGCGCTAGGCGTATCAACTTTGTATTAATTCTTACGAAACTTATTAGACTTGAACACCTTTTTAGTTTAATAATTTTCTAATTGGAATAATTATAGTATTTTATTTCTTATTGCACCAATTTTGGTTTGAATGTTTCGTTGTATTATTAGACATTATTCTACTGTAAGAATATGATAAGTTCGATTTATGGGACGTAAAGAGAAACACTCATATGAATCATTCTTTTTATTTTTTAAAATAATTATAGCTAACCGTTTCGGCAATAATAGTTACTATCTCAGTTAATGACACAATAAGCATTTACCGTTGTTAAAATCATATAATTTATTTCACAATAAAAATTAATGGGTTAATTAAATTTGTTCAATAAAATGTAAATTAATAATTATCATTTAACATAAATCAACACTAAACTATCAATAATTACAAAGCATTGCGCACGATGACTACGCGTCCAGTACAAAAAAAATAACTTTTATAAAAATATAATATTCAATAAACACATTCCTGTTTTTAATCTAAATAATAATAATTAATTGAAAACATGGCATCGTTTATTATAATTAAATATAATCGCTAAATTAATATATAACTTAACGTAAATAACTCTATACAATATAATTAAAATGAAATAATAAAAACAATGAATTATTAATTTTAGTCGTGAACACTCGCAATATACGAAATCATATATTTTTATTTACAGAATCACTCAACAATTAGTCTCATCTCCTATATGTCACTAGGGGTCCAAGTATAATAGTTTTGTATACTTATAATGATTTTCTTAAAAGTAGTCATGTCCGTCCCTCAGTGTAAGAGAATATTTGACGAATTGAAAATAATTCTATTTATAATTTCAACATGTATGTATGTTTATTTCGCCTAAACATCGATTAGGTACATAATTATAACGCCACATCACATTTCTAATACGTTTTTATATACATTTCATTTTGTTTAACTTTTAAATACATCATGCCAAACACGAATTTTGACTTGTCACTAGAAGTTAATTTATTCTAATGTCACTAAACGTTATGTAATTTTACAATTTACCTTTATACGCCGAAATAGGTACATAATTTCGAATTTTACATTATTCCTTTCCAAACGTCAAATTTACAATTCATTTATGTAACGCTTTTTACATACCTACCGATTATATTAACTTTTTTGCAATTTTATTTTGTAAATTTAACTTAGGGATTTACAAAATTGCAAAAGAATTAAGTAATTTTTTCAACAAAACCAAATCTACACGTTGCGTGAAGGGTTAAAATTGATATAAATAAGACTAGAAGTACACCAATTAAAATATTCTCGAACAAGTTCTGGAGTTCGGGAAATAAAAGTTGATAATTTTTTTTCAAAAGTAAAATATATAATGTAATGTAAAATACACATAGTAAATGCCTCATGTGACATCAAAGAGGCTAGGCGTAGATATAATAATAACATAGACAATGTTCAATGCGCTGCTAGTGTTTTTAGATATATATTTTTAGTACCGAATCACAGAATTTATTTGTTACCCTGATTTGCTAATTTCATCGAAAATAATAACATTTGCTTAACAACAGCATCCATCATTTGATATCAATTTTATAAACCTAAATGATAATTTTGTTTAAATTTTCTCTACATAATTAATTATATTTTTGTCCATTTCAAAATATATATTACTAATATTTTCAGTGTCAATATTTTTTTTATAGAAAAATATTCATATGTAAAAATGGAAACGACGCATGTAGATATGGGATATATAAAACCCCATTAGGTATACACCAATAATAATTCCATTATCTATGACATTTAAGTACGAGTAAGTACACGGATTTTTTTTTGTATTTATTTGTTTTATTTCGTTGTTCACTACATTTATAACGCAGAACAGACATTTAAATGATCGAGAGCATGAATGCCCTGCATTATAAGAGGACCCGTTTGTAAAAAATAGCTTTTATTGCTCAAAATAAACGCTATTAATTATAAATGGGTCTAGAATTACATTACATTTAATACTAACTTACGATAAGATACATGAAATGGCTACAATGTGAGTTATAATTGAAAACCTGGCTATCCTGTCTATCCTTAATTATTACGAATAATAAACTTGTATATTTCACTAAATATATCATAAAACAAGCTGAAATACAAACAACGTAAGCGACGAAGCGTCAAAAAGAAAAACTTTAACATTCAATAAGGATGTGTAATTTAAATCAACAGCAAGTTAGTTTAAAAACTTAACAATAAAAATGTTATGAATCGGGCGAAAGGTTGTATGGTATAAAAAATCATATAAATCCAGTCAGTTAGGTGTAAATAACTTACAAACATCCAAACATTTACAGTTATAATACTAGCAGGATTAATAATGCTGTATAATAAATACACGTTTATTGTAAATTTGCAATTTCAGTGTAGTCACACGATTCATAACATTTTATAACTTTTTAATAAATAAAAAATGTAATGTAATCGCTAGTTGTTTGTGCGATCTGCCTTTTTGTATTATATCTAATACAAAAATATTGCATCGTTCAAAGCCTGAACGAACGTTCACCATCGAACAAGCGTAATACGCGTTTAAAAACTTCTCAACGAATTTATCTAATAACATAACTATCAATTAACATAAATAATTAACTGTTAACATGAAATTGCCAATTAAACTACAATAATATTAATTGCGTCATATCCATTTTTCTATAAGAATACAGCTAACAGCGCATTATGTTAAATAGTAACTGTGATGTACACCACTAAGTACCACAGTTACGTAATGCTGAAATACAACAGAATCCAGATCTATTGTTACTAAATAACCGAGTTAAAGAATTTAACCCAGTTTCAGATTAGCACTATGGCCAATTTAATGTTATTTAGGCTTTATTATTAATTTTAACGTACACAGCTTAACTACGCATGTTTCATTATAAAATAAATGTAGAAAAATTTTCATTATTTTGTTTTTTTTTTATTTAACATTAAAAAATGTATCCGTCAAAAACTTAAACATAACCTCTGACAACTCGCAAACACGATCTGTTTTAATAACTATTCCTTTTTCGATGATCACAGAAAATACAAATATAGTCCATATCTTTCTGCGACACAATTATATGACTATTTTATTTATGTATAATTTATTGAATACTTTTGTCGTATATTCAAAAGATTTTGACATTTTTAAATTTCTGATCACGAAAATACAACGGGAATATTTATATATTTATATATACTTTCTACATAATATATGTTATGTCGCACAAAAATGTGAACAGTAATACCACATGAACACTTTCTTGGAAACGTAACTTTTGATCTACAAATCTAATGTTAGGATTCACGATCCGTGCTTTTTTGTACAACTCGAGCGACACCCGAGTCCAGTTCCCTAACGCGATGCTTTTATTATTTATAACTTTAAAAATACCAAACGTCCATAAATTTTTCCTTCTACTAGACCTAAATTTAAAACAATACCATTTATACAATATTCATAGGAACTTCTTTTGTTGTTACATTAAATTTATTTATATATTAAATTTATTGAGGACATTTATACAATAATAGCGATCCGTTCACTTTGAATTTTTCAATTGCTTTTATCGAAAAACGGTTTTATATATTAATTATATTTTATTTCAGTCAATATTCCAGTGGAGTCCAAGATTTAACGTTTCCTAGAAAACATAATCATTATCGAGTAGCCTTCCCGTGCTGATGGAACTAGACATTGCGCTCCAAACAATAAGTTAATAATATGCCGAAATGTTTTGTGTTTCATAAATAAAATACTTAATACATTGAAAGGAAAAATTAAATAATAAACTCCCACCCACAACCAAATATCACGATACAAATTATAGTGAATTTTTGGGCTATTGCATTTTGTTTTTTATTTTTATTCATTAAATCGACACAGTATGACAGTAAAATTATTAACCGTACATGATTTACAACTCACTGTGCACACCAATGCCGATATTAATTCAAGAGTCAAATAATTACGTACATTAAAATCAGCTTATTATACCTTACCTATTTTACGATTATACGTAGAATATTACAATTTATGTGTACAAATTTAGAGTACATAATCTAAATAGTACACATAAATTGTCACTTATTTATAATACATGACGATAATATTAAAAGAATTAATATTCGGCAACACTTGACATTCTCTTATAATTAAATTGCAAAATGACTCCGTTTTGCAAACATGGGGAGTCATTTTGCAATTTGTAGTGAACTATAAAACTATTGCAATGGCAACTGCCAGCATCCTAGATGCCTATAGATTTGTTGTTAGATTTATTATAAAGCGGAATGCTTTACTTACTGATCGTATTAAAATGATTCACTGGGCTATTGTGTTTCATTTAAAAGCTTGATTGTGTTATAATAAAAAATAAATTAATATAAGAAATTATTCTCGGGCTGAATATGTCAATATCCGTGTTCATGAAAAGAATGCCTTGTGTTTTTTTGTCTATTCAATGTGATTGTTGTCGAAGATTTTATATTTTTGTTGATATTGTGTTCTGTTCTGCAGTTCTGACTTCGACAGGATTATTTTTGTTGATATTGTGTTCTGTTCTGCAGTTCTGACTTCGACATGTGTCAACATGTTTGTCCTGTATTGGTTGTTCGTAATGTGCAGTGAAAAATCGCTATTCCATTATCCATTAGTTGTTGTTTATTATCAATTATTTATTTACACAAAAACAAAGGTAAGTAACGGCAGTCTTCTGAAATAAAAATAATAATGAATATTCTTTTATACTATATACAATCTATACAAATTATTTGTAAATAATTATTTTCATAAAATTATAGCATTTTAATAAAAAATAAAGTGTTATTTTCGTACGAACATAAGAATATAAACTTTACGTAACGTCTACGTATTTACATTATTATTGGCTAATATGGCATTTATAAAATAAAACTTTACGCCGAGGGGAAGATTATTAGAAATTTATATTGAAATATAATGAAAAAAATAATTGTGTAAAAATAAATTTAAATTTTTCTCTTTTTCTTTTTAAATAGAATATTTATTGTGCGTTCAAAACGTGACTAGCATAAGACGTGTTATTGCGTGAAGAGTTAAAGATAAAACAAATATAATATATTGCAATAATATAACCTATAGAAACTTAATATGCAAAGTAAATATTGCAGTCTCGCTAAATGCGATAAATAGTGCATATAACAGTTTGGCACGTCCAAAGGTTTGTACTAAACTAACATACAATTATCTGCAGATAAAGCTAATAAAAAATAAATATTTCACATTCATAATAATAATAATAATAATAATAATATATGATAACACTCATCTATAACCAAACAAATAATTAATGAAGATTGCACTGTATATTATTTGTCATATGATTCTACACCTAATTACTTGTTCGGGCGAGTTTTTGTTCCATTAATATTATATATGTATATATATTCATTCAACTATTACTCTTTCATATATATTTACAAGAATTTTGTCGCAGCTAATGTCTCATTATTTACAACAGTTAGGTCTATCTACGATTGTAGTTACATTAATAATCATATTTAAATTATTTCCGGCTAAACGAAAATCGTAGTTTTAGTTAGCGCTTCAAAATAAATAATTACCAACCAGAGGCGATTTCACTTGACGCTCCATCGTAAAGAAAAGTTAATTTTGTCTCAACGAATTTGTAATGCTACGTTGCTATAAACTAGATTATTTTCACGATTTATTTTTATACCGAAATCGCATCGGATTAGTAATAGCTGAATTTTCATGGCTGAGGGTTTTGCTGGAGATGGACAGCTTGTTGCGCCGCTTGTTGTGCAGCGTGCGCCGCTTGCTGCATGTGCTGTTGTTGGGCTGCTTGCGCGGCAGCTTGCTGTGCCGCCTGTGCAGCTTGCTGAGCTACCTGCTGTGCGGCTTGTTGAGCTGCTTGCTGCGCTGCAGCTGCCTGTTGAGCAGCTACAGCTTGCTGTGCAGCTTGTTGAGCGGCTTGCTGTGCAGGTGATGGTAAATTAAAACCCAACATTCTCGGATCGTGCAACCTTAACGCTTGCTCCAACCTCTGCTCCTGCGCGATTCTAAATGCTTCAACTAGTTCTGGACTCAACTGCCCGCCCGCATCGTTTGGTGGTTGTGGAGGAAAGCCCCCGTTGTGTCTTAAAGGACTGGGAGCTTCGTTGCCGTGCGCCGCTGCGGCTGCTTGGGATACTGCTAATCGAAGCGCTTCAGCTTGACTTCGCAGCAATGCTTCGGCTTGCTGAATCCTTAACGCTGCTTCGGTCGGTGCTGGCGGTGTTTCAGCTGGGGGCTGCGTTGGCGGCGGTTCTCTTGCTAGCTGCTGCCGCATTGCTGTTACTAGGTTAGCAGCCGCGACTTGTACAGCGTTGGCACCTTCGCCTGGTTGCGCCATCATGTTCGCTGCCGCTGCTGCAATCGCTGCGACCCTCTCGTCTCCGTACGCTTGGTGACCATTATTTGCGGATCGTAAAAGATCTGTTAACTTGTTGACAGCGGCACCGGCTTCTGAGCCCGCTGATGAGGATAATCGGCCGTTCGAAGAAGAATCGGAGTGAGCTGGTGATGGTGGAGCTAAATTTAGGAGACCTGAGCCCCCAGCGGATGCGGATACGGCAGCAAGGAGATCCCGCTCTCTCCTCTCTGCTGCTGCTCGAGAGAGGACGTACTGAGCGGCAAACTGGTGTTTCGGTTCCATTCTCATATGCTCCATGTGTGAAAGGAGACCTGGAAAGTTGTGTTTTAAATAAGCAAAAATATAATTTCTGTATAAATAGACACAGAATCAAAAATTAAAGAATGTTTAGTTGAATCACTTTAGAAGTTTTCGAAAGTACCTAGCTTGTTTTGAAAGCTGTGTTCCGATTAGGGTAAAATATACTAGAGGTAATTCCTCTAGGTACAGTCGTGCATGTACATAGGATAAGAGGCATGACATTATAGTCATGGTAACACATGACAGTGTCGTGGTTTCACATAATAACGTGACGTCCGTAGTGGTGTTCATGGCGACGATTACCGTTTACCATCAGCTTTCTTGCCATTCCAACTACATAAAAAACGCATAAGCGTTACCGCAAGTATGACACAACTGTGTGATGTTCGTGGTACTATTAATAAATTTAAATGATGATCACCGTTTTTCATTACATCGGTCGATAGCTTGTTTACCATTACAGCCACATAAAAACCGTTGTACTTACCACTTTCATGGGTGAACACAGCTTGGCACACGGAACACGGCCACATCCTGAGACTGCTGGTGAGCTGTGTCTCCGGGTGACATGCCAGGTGCTTTCGCAGGGAACCTTCATTCACATAATGCTTCCCACATACAGGACAAGGGTGGTTCGCCGTCCGCCGCTTCGCTATATAAGGATCAGTTGGTTTAGCTTGTGCCGGGTATGGTGAAGTGGCGGGTGGACCTGCGCCATCATCACCAGGATCAGGACGGGTTAGTGGGTTAGAGGAGGGAAAGAAAAAAAATAACAGGTTAGTTCCATTGTTAGTGTAATCACGTGGAAACGACTTTTGCTCATCAGTTCTGCTTGATTCTCCATTACTGATACTTGAATTATCAAATTCAACAAAAATCGTTTCAATCCTTATGAATAGAAATAAACTTAATCAAAACAATAGAATAGTAAATGATGGTGAACGAAATGGTACATTTGAACTTAAAGTTGATAGAACAAAACATTAACCAATTAACGGAACAGAAATGGCAACAAAACGAAGTTGACGTTAGAAAACCGAGGAAAATGTAGCTATTAGATACATAAACAAAACATGTTATGATAATAAAGTTGGAACGCCATCCTAAGAATCTGTCGTGCTCGGGACAAGCAAGAAATGTTTTCAAAACACTCTACCCTACCGATGATGCCGAAACAATAACAGATATACCCTGGATGGAGTTGCAACCAGTTTATTTATTACTAATATTTTATGGAAACGATACGTTTTTGTTTTACCGTTGGATCTAAAGAAACCAACACCCCTCGTGGCTTTGTGCCAGCTGGAAGCTTTTGCTACGGAAAATGTTTGATTACAAAATGTTTTGCTGTTACTATTCCTATTATTTAACTGAGACTGGCAATTTTAACGTACAAACTTCCAGCGACAATCCTTATAAACTAATAAATCCCATTTGCCAGAGCTTGAACAAAAAATCTTATAAAACATTATAATAATAATAAATGTTTATTAACATTAATATTAGCTACCGCTAATGAGATTTCCTTAAAACTAGTTTACATTTAGAGAAAAAAGAAAGTCCCCATAGACGACGTTCTTTTTTTGAACGCTGCTTAAATTCAAATTTAAAAACCGAACGGCCGCATTCGGGAAACTTACTCGCAACACCGGACGCGTTAGGGTCTTTATGCGTATTCTTCATATGTTCTACGAGCGCTTCGCCACCGAATACGACTTTGTGGCATATTGGGCAAGTGGTTGCGGTCGCACCACCGATCATGAGTGCGGCATGTTGCTGCAAAACACCAAGGTGCAGCTGAAGCTCCTGTTCCACCGTGGCGAGGTGGCGATGCGGGCATAGCATTCAAAGATTAGGATCAATACACAAAATACATAAAACAAAAATAACATGTCGAAATGGAATTTAGAAATTATAATAACAGCCAAAATTACAATTTTGATTTAATGTTCGAACTAAATTTTTATAATATGCCAAATGGAATTTAGATAATTAAAAGATAACTTGCCAAATTTCAATTTTGATCGATAAAAATAAAATATAAAATAATAGGCAAATATCATTAAGTCCTGGCCAAATATTAATGATAACACAGTTTTATAATATCGTAACAAACATTATTAATAATATATCTGGGGAAAAAAGATTATATTTAAATAAAAGATAATAATTATGTAATCATTCAAACATTCTCTAGGATTAAGATTATAGAAAAAAATAAAGTATTATATTTTATTTCAATTTAATTCTCCAATCTATACAGTTGAAACCCATTTAATGGAATTTAAATTTGAAAATGGAATAACAGTTTCCAAAGTTATAAATCACTAGGTAATAATTTAAAAATGGAATAATCCGGCATTTAATATCCCGGAAGTATTCCAGAATTTGAAATGGAATTTATATTTTCCTTGAGAATTACCGAATAAGAATAAATAAAGCATGGACTTTGTTAAGATACTGACCTTTGCCGTGTGTGTTCTCAGACTGCTCTCGGTGGCGAAGCCTTTGCCACAGATGTTACAGTGGAAGGGTCTGTTTTTAGCACGTTCTACTTGGGCGTCGTGATTCCTCAGGTGTTGTTGTAGATTGGACAGTTGGATGAAGGCGCGCCCGCAATCTGGCAGGTGACATTTGTACGGCCGCTCGCCTAAAAAACAAAGAAATTGTTAAACACGTGTAAAAAACATAATAATAGGTAATTGGTAATTTCTAAATATTGTAGTAATATTGCTGGTGCCTGTATTCATGTAGGTCTATTACAGATTCTTATGATATGTCAAATATACCGTCAGTTTAGTGCTTTCGATCTAAGAAGAACTGGCAAGAAACTGAGCTCTTATTCTTTTCAAATGAACGTGTACAGGATTACAAAAATTTAGATTCATATATATATATGTCATAATAAATTATTTTAAAATTCAATTTGGAAGAATATTGTGACAAAAAGCATATCCTATTGCATTTCTGTCAATGGCTTTTGATTAGATAAAAGCCGTAATCTGAACAGACCAGTCCCCAAACAGCATCCGTTCACAAGTATGACGGATGAACCAGCCATCATTGCACTCAATCATATTAGAGCATTGACCCTTTAATTATAATAAATTCATTTTTAAAAACTTTTTACAAAAACTCTATTTGACTAATGCTGTGTGCATAGACCACCCAATATTTGGTTGATGAAGTATGCAACGGCAATGGAAGGTATTTATGAAGACGCTTAAAAAGGTCATAATTTAATACGGAAGGAATTCTTAATGGAATAGATGCTCGCCGGATATCTAAATAAAACAAGCTATGTTCTTCTAAGCCAGCATTCGTATGCGATCTTTTTGTAATTGTTATAAAGTTTTGTAATGTTAATCATTCATTAAAAATTCGAAAGGAATTAGGTACGTATCATTTTTAAATATTATAATTTTCCAAAACATAATTCGAAATTTATAAAAATTTATAAATCGAATTGTTGTTTCTGCTATAATTACACATATGTATCGTCGATTAGTTCGTTATTTGACACGTAGTACAACGGTAACCGAAAAGGTTACACAATCGAACGGTAAGAACCAGTTTGGGTGCAAACTGAATAAAACAAACGCGTTCGCGCCAAAAACCGCGACCTAACCCAACGCGCGAAAGAAACCGATGACCGGCGTTCCATTTTTAAAATAAGACCATAATAAAACGAACGCATACTTTTAGCCTGTACTACTGCAAGCAAATGCATAGGTCATTGACTGAGCGCACTCACACACACACGGACACACACACACACACACACACACAGTTAACATTTTATAATGTGCACAGCAATAGTGGGTATCTTTTCTACATAGTCCTTCGATGTATGAGTGTTCGTGATTTTGCATGTCTGAGAAGAATGCGTGTGTATAATACTGGTGCGTTTGTAAGGAAAGATATGGCAGAAATATTTCCTAGATGTTACAAGATAGATATATGGTTTTGTGTTGGGTTTGACATAGCCCAATGTATATGTACGAGCTAGAGCTTGCTAGCTGATAGGGCCCTAACGGTGCGATTGGTTTATTTATTGGCACTAAATTTTATATCTGAGTTTATTAGGTTGCTCGCTAGATAAAAGTGTGGGTAAAATATTACGTTATTTAATACATTTATGACGGGCATAGTTTGTAAGTGAGTGTTTCCGCTTAATTTAATATTGACTTAATTTACAAAGAGGTTTCTTGGTGTGGTATTTCCTGGATGTAACAATATGTGGTAAGTGGTATAAAATGATAGATCGGTGGAGTTTGTGAACATAAGAAGGAAAATCATATATAGGTATATGTGTAGCATAATCATAAATTAGCCTTATTTGTATAAACGATAAAAATAATAAATATACACTGTATGTAAGCGAAGTTAAAAATGGTTTTCAGAATAGACACGGCTTTACCGATTTCAAAGCTATTTTCACTGATGTATATAGAAAGTTTCCCATAACGTTTCATTTCAATTGCCTCACAAGCAAATAAATAACTTTATTTTGTCTTAAATTAATAATAGAACCATTATTATTTATGTCAAGCTTGGGTTTTTTGACAAATAATATATCAGGATAGCTAAAATACAAATATGCAGTAATTAATAATATATTACCTACATTGTTATTTTGACGTAATTATTAAAAATAATCCCACATTACAAATGCCTACAAATAAGGAAACAAAGATAATAATATCTAAATAAAATGTTCCACTACAGTATTATTACACTATTATAAATAGATTAAGTTAAGAAATTTATTATAATTAGATTTAAATTTGAATCAGATGTATTAAATTTAATTATTAAAATTAAGATGTTTATCGTATTATTATTTGTAGATTTATTTTCAATGATATTTTATTATCATTTTTCTTTGCTATCAACGATCATAAATGATTACTGAGAGAATTTTCTCTGTGTTTAACAGAGAAAATTCTTGTATATTAATGTATAATTTTATTTTAAGCAAAACATTTTTGTAGATAGATGTGTGTAACCATTTTTGATCATTTTTTTTATCATAAATAGATACTGAACATTGTTCATAGTCATTTTTTGTAAGTCGGTAAGTACCAATATTTATTAATAAAAATATATTGATGTAATAAAATAAATAAAACAATTAATAAATATAATTACCACACAATAGTAAAAATTTTACGATTTACGGTTTAGTGCGAGAACTACGAATATCGTTATGAAACACACAATTAAATAAATGTTGAAACTACAAGAAAAGTATAAAATACACATATAAAATCTTCTTTAAACTATTCTGAAATATGTAAAATATATAATTCAATAATAAGAGTTAAAAAAGTAATGATAATAACATACTACACTAACAGATTATACAAAAACATATTTTTAGATACTCTCTCATTCAAATGTATTTATATCAGTTGTCTAGAAGCCATAACACAAGCTCTGCTTAGTTTGAGACCAGGCTCTCTGTGTCCTGGGATATAGTTATTATTATTATTCTGTAGTGTGTGTAATGTTTTATTTATGCATTATTTTTTTTCTGCACTCTTTCACTAAAAGTGTGTGAAATTTCATACTCTGCCGTTCACGTAATTTTTGTAAAAAGATGTAGGTACAAAGTTTTGTTTCTATTTCTATTCTATTCACAAATATCATAAACGCGAAAGTTGTTTGTTGCTCTTTCACGCAAAAACTACTGAACGGATTTTGATGAAACTTAACATATATATCTTATGAAAATAACACATAAATTTTATGCGAGTGAAAACGCGTGCACAGATAGTGTTTTTATTTTTGTATGCATATTAATTTATATAACTGTTTTTTTCTGTGAGAGGAGCAATAAAGAGTTATCACTTTTTTTCCTATGAAAATAGGGTTTATATTCATTCTTGTTTTAATGTAAACATTTCCGGGTATGCACACTACTGTAAATTGAGGTTGTGACGCCATTTTTCAATCTATACAACCTACGCGCTCAAACGACCAGCGTGATCTGAACTCCGTCTACGAGCTTTAACACTTGAAAGCCCTACTTTCCAATACGGGCAAGATACGCGAGGCGGGTCATTGGTAACTGGCCGGTTTCTCTATGGGTATTTTTGTTATTTCTCTATGAATAAATGTAGGGAAGGGAAAGGCGTTCGCCTTAGCACAGTTTACATGATGCACGATGGTCTAAGGATGCCATTTGTGAATATTGATTTCGGATGCGTTCAAAACAATATAATTAAAAATAAAAAACAAATAGGCATTCTAAATTTAAATGTTAACAATTAACTTTTAAATTTGGAATAGGAATAGAAATAAGACTAAGAAATTAATTTTATACATGAAGAATTCTAAATTTGAATTATAATCTATATTAATATTATAACTACGAAAGTCAACTTGACGAATAAACGGCTGAACAGATCTTAATGAAATTTTAATTATAAGTACAGAAAAAATTGTGGGTAATATTTAACATTAAGATATAATATCGGTCACGAAAACCTTTCAAAAATCAAAACCATAAATATAATAAACGTTCTTAGTATTGAAAATCAGGTCTAGCGTGTTCACAAAACTATAGGCAGGCCGCGGAGCAGCCTACGCATTTGATTTACATACAAAAGTACTTCCCTGCTAGTAACACAAGCACCTTTCGACTAACGCGTAGGCATAAAGCATTTCTTGTAACCATTTTAGATGTGTTTAAAAAAAATAAAAAAAAAGAACGAAATAAAAAAAAAATTAAAAAGACTGTAGATGCTAGAGATGTGAATTATCCATAGAGTAAAATATTGAAGGAGCTGTTTTATAGTAGATGTAAGTTTTTTGTAGTAAAACACTTTGTTCTTATATACTGAGTGCATAATAAAATACTTTTCATTTGCCTTTGCCTGTCCATTTCTCTGTTCGTTTGATTACGTTAATCTCAGACACGACTTAACCGATTTGAATGCGTTATCCACTGATGTAGTATAGGTACATATTGAATATTTTTATTATTCTGGACGGTTCACAAATATATAACTCATAAAGCATTATGCATTACTATTCCTAATAGCATATGTGCGTTATTACGAGCTCAGCTAATATTAAGTAAGATTTTTTTAATTTTTTTTTAATTATAAATCTATATATAATACCTACACCTTTTTTATTTTTTACAAAATCATTTGTGTAATAAATCAGTAATAATTTTTATAGCGTATAATTTATTTTTTACCTTTTGATTACAAAGCAAAACAAAGTGAAACATTTAGATGCAGAAAATAATAACTGACACTTTCGTAATTTAAAAATATAAAATAATAATGCCAAAGGCCAAAAAATGTATTCCAAAATCAAAAATAAATTGCAGAAAGCGGAACGTATAGTCGATTTTAAAACACGACAGGCCGACGGGTGCGAGCGTGTAACGAATTTATTTTTGAATTTGGAACGCAGAGTTACGCGCCATTTTGACTTGTGCCCGTATAATTCTCGCATGTTTCCACTCGTTATTAATTTCATCGTATAGCCGTTACTACTGATTCTTTTGTCATATCTAATGGTTATATAATTTAGCTATTGATATATCTCTATTTATAATAGTTACATTCTACCACTATTAAAACTTTAATCGGAATAAAAAGTGCAAATATCTATATCATTCTCCAGATATTT